GCCCAGCTTTAGAAGATGTTACTTACTTCTATTTCAGGTCCACCAACCCAACGAACAGCAGGCAGCTCATTCTGGAGCAGCAAGTGATTAGCTTCATCATCAAAACCCCACTGGCAAATAGCAAGGTTTGCACCAGTGTCTTTTATCTGAAAGCAACACACAATACCAGCCTTCTGATCAGAACCAGCACAGAAATGAAAAACAATCTCTGCACAAATTTAATGCTCTTATTTTTCTCAAAACACAAGGCTGAAAAAGAACTGCCTGGCATACAGAGAAATCAAAGTTAATTTCAAACCAGAGCAGTATCTCTTTCCTAGACAAATTTAACTGTTATTCACTGCCTTTAAAGTGCTTGTACGTAGCCTTCTATCAGGACTATTAACTCATGTCCAGAAATAAATCAATACACTATGCTGTTTTATGCAAAGGCTATGAAAAATGTAGAAACCAGAAAATCTCAAAGACTACCTGTTTCACCATCTCTTCAAACTTCTCCTTTTCATATTTCTGCAATGCTTTGTAATCTTCTACAGATGTGACATCAAGCTTATGCTTGGTTTTAGGCTTAGGTGGTTCGAATGGACAAGTAAGGATCGCAATTTTAGCATCTTTAAGCTCCTATATAATAAAAAATATTGAGTTTAGTAACATGTCTTCATGTTTGCAACACATAAAAATACATCTTTAAAAATAGAGGGATAAGAAGAAACTTGAAGATCATTTGACTGACTCTAAAGTGAAGCAAATGATAACCCAGATACTTCCAGCAGAAGTGTCTATAACCTACTTAAATTCCACAGCTTCAAGACACTGTTTAAACCCTGAATAGTCTTTACCAGTGATGTCTTCTTATAGTTTTGATGTTTAAAAACAGAAAAAACCCCCTTCCATTAAACCTTTATTGGCCCTATCCATCTTCAGTCATTGAGGATACTACATACTCCTCTTCACAGCCACCTCTTTTGTACTACATGACTGGTATTTTCCACCAGTCTTCTTTTTTACAGGATAAGCAGTGTGACCTACTAGGAAAATATTCTGGAATAGTACAAAATTTAAATTGTTTCCATCTTTTTGCTGAAGTACAACGCACAAAACCTGAGACTGTATCTTCATCAACATAATAAAACTATAGCTTCAAGGATGTTCCAAGCAGAACAACATGGCAACTCACAAAGCTTAAGAAGCATTTACTGATACCAAGTTGCAGTAAGTGTCTTCAGCATAATCATCCATAGTGTGTACTATTTCTGCTTTAACATAGACCTTCGCAGCTGTCCTCACTCAGTTTCCCCCAATTCCCACCCATCATTTCTTAGTTACTTAAAATTACTGTAAATTCTAACTTGGTTTCTTTCAAAATCAACAATGTAATGCTCTTCTCCCCTTTCTGTTGATATATGGGTGCAAAAACAATCCAACTTACTAAAAAAATTCTAGGACAGCATTTAAAGTGGGCTAAACAATCTTATCTTAGCTATTACAGATGAGAGATGCAGACATGGACTCTACTTACCTTAGGCATCTGTGGATGACTGAAGTCTTTATCCACTATGACTCCTTTAACCAACTGTGTATCTTCCAGTCTACCTCCCACTTTGCCTTGTACTTTGATCAGCTCAAAATCAACATCTTTACGTTCCATATCTGCTACTGTCAGTACAGCATTTACAGCAATTTCTGCCATTTGTCTATGACAACGGTTAACTCTAGGTTAAAAAAAAAAAAAAAAAAAAAAAAAAAAAAGTCAAGTTGCATTATGTTTCCACAATTTGGAAGAAAAAGAGTGACTTGAGCAAAAAGTATCCCTATAGCTAACAACTTTTGAACACTACATTAAAGAAGGGGAGGTCCTGCTTGTTCACAGAAATAAAATATTATATATATATGGCAGCAAACAGAACACAAAATATGACTTGTCTAAGTAGTCTTTGTGGACACAGCCTCAAAATACAGATTTGAAACAAGTGAGGAGAATTAACTACCAAGAACCATTCAAGTGACAGAAACAACTGTTAAGACTGCTCTGAAAAGGAAGCCCTTACACTGCCTGAATGCATATACTATACATAGCACCTATCATGAAAAATGTATTCATGGAACTATCCTGCAGATTTATTTATTTTTTTTAGGAAAAAAAACCCAAACAAAGCAAAACTATGAAATAGAATGTGCAATTACTTTTAAAAGGTTTACATTACTCCTGGAGTTTGCTGTGATGCAGAAACCTAGAACTAACAGGTTTGAATGACATCTAGCTTGTAGTTTAACCTCATGGAATTGACCCTATAGAGAACCAAGGATTCAGTGTCTTATTCTCAGTCTTGAGACCATGGAGAAATTAGCCAAAATGTAATAATGCATCAAAACACCAGGATTTGATACAAAGACAGGCTGAGAGAGTTAGGGCTGTTCAGCCTGGAGAAGACTCCAGGGAGACCTTAAAGCGGCCTTCGACTACCTGAAGGGGGCCTACAGGAAAGCTGGGGAGGGGCTTTTCACCAAAGAAGACAGTAACAGGACAAGGGGTAATGGTTTTAATCTGAAAGAGGAGAAATTTAGGTTAGACATCAGGAAGAAATTCTTCCCCATGAGGGTAGTAAGGTGTTGGAATAGGTTGCCCAAGGAGGTTGTGGATGTCCCCTCCCTGGAGGTGTTCAAGGCCAGGTTGGATGAGGCTTTGCACAGCCTGGTCTAGTGTGAGGTGTTCCTGCCCACAGTAGGGAGGTTGGATCCTGATGATCTTCAAGGTCTCTTTCAGCTTTAACCATTCTAAGATTTCTTCAAGTACTTTTAAGGAAAACATAAACCTTCTTGAGTTTTTGTGACTTACACTTTAGAGCCCAGTGTTGTCTTTGCTGTCTGGATCAGAGGTTCAGTGTTCTGTGGATCAACTGGAAAGCTGTCACTGATTTTGTCTAGATGCTCAATAGCAATGCGGGCTGCCTGCTCATAACCATCTGCAATCCTAATAGGGTGAATACCACGATCTAGTAACTGCTCAGCCTGCTCCAGTAAAGCTCCAGCCAGAACTAGAAAACAAATTTTTAAAATAGTGTTTACTCTTCCACAGATTGAAGTATCATTTTAAATACATTATCAAAAGATCAGAAAGTACATGTTCTGATTTTTTACTGTAAGATTTTAACAGTTCATGGTTTTGTAAATGACAAAACAAACCCCTAAATGCTGTGCTTAGAAAGAGAGCTGCATTATGTTAGGCCAAAGAGAAGCATGTGCACCAAGGCAGGACAGATCCAAGATTATGGAAAAAAAATTAGACATAAAAATTTTGAAAGTAAAAGAGGACTCTCAACACTAACTTGAAATGTACCCATATTTAGAAAAGTGCCCTTCTGATTAAAAGAACTGACAAAAACACTGAAGCAGTAAATACACTAAATACATGCTACATTAAAGCTACTGTTATGTCATGCAAATTTACACAGGAATTCTTAACATAGCTGAAGAACCTTGATTTTAAAGCTGCAAAAGCAAAGTTAAATTTGAAATATTTTCTCACCAACTACTCCAGTAGTTCCATCCCCAATCTCATCATCTTGAGATTTAGACAGCTCCACCATAAGCTTGGCTATCTGGTGATCCACATCCATCATATTCAGAATGGTAGCACCATCATTTGTCACAGTCACCTCACCGTCTTTGTCCACCATCATTTTATCCAAACCTAAAAGAATACATATTCAAAGCATGAAGGAAAACCTAAATAAGCCTCCAAAACAATTACTGAGAAAGAAGACTTAAAATTATTTCATTATTACCATTGGGCCCAAGGGATGTTTTCAGAGTACTTGCCACAGCCTTTGCTGCCATTATGTGAGACTAAAAAAGAAGACAAAGTTAAATCACTACCATGCTCTCTAAAATCATTCTATTAAGCTAACAAAAATACAGGGAAAAAAAGCTAAAGCAAATGTTATAATTTGACAATTGCCATTTATAACTGAAAATACCCCACGACACCGTTCTTATGCCAGAAACGTTTTGCGTGCATCTTCTTGCACAGCTTGAGCATGGAAAAGCAGAGCAGCTAAAATAACAGCCCCGAGGTTTAAAGAAGAGAAGCAACATAAGCAAGCAATGCTAAAAGGAGAAGAAAACATAATTTTGCTCTATTTTCCCATCATTATCTAAATCGCACAAGTCTGCTTACTCGCTGAGCCACAGCATTTCTCGGTAACAACAGCCCAACTTCCCTAGCAGAAGAGGATTCGTGGGGGCAGGCCCAGGGGAGGGGGCTGCGGGGAGCCCCCCCGCCCGTGCCCAGCGGGGAGGAGCGCCCTGCACTCACAGGGAAGACCAGGCAGAAGCCACGCGGCTCGGCAGCGGCATCACGCCAGGGAGCGCCCAGACCCCCCCGGGCCGCGGCTGGCGGGTTCCCAGCCCGGGGGGCGACGCCTTCTCTCCCTCTCTCCGTCCCTCCACCCCTCCCAGGCTTGCGGGCCTGGGCAGGCGTGAGGCAGAAGACAATGGCGGGAGCCCTTGTCCCAGCGCGCTTCACCCTGCGGCCGAGGCCTAGCGGCGCGCTCCTCGCCCCTAACGGCAGCAAGGCCCGGCATGGCGCGGCCCGGCGGCACCGGGGGCCGCCCGCTCACCTTCAGCGCCTCCAGCCCCATCAGGCGCGTCTTGCGCTCCTGGTCCTTGAGGATGAGGAAGGGGCGCCCATACTCATCGAACGCCAACGTCCCCATGGCCGACATGGCTGCGCACC